AAGAGAAGTCAGGGGTTTCCTTTCACAAAGTGGGGAGTGATCCAATCGTGTATCACTGTGTCCTCAAGGCTGCTGCCTCACACTGCAGAAGAAAAGAAAGAACAAATTCAGGTCAGTCACTGCCAAGTGTGGAAACTCTGAATGGTCCATCACAATCTCAAAATGTCCAAACCTAAAGAATCTCCAGAACCCAGTCATGTCACCTCTGTCCCAACCCCTCCAACATGCCAGGTCCCAGGGTCTCACCTTTAGAGGCTGTGAGAGACACATCGGAGCCCTGGTTACTGTCATTGCCTGAAGAAAAAAACCCCACAGGATCTGGTCAGAGCCTACAGGAAGCTAAGAGGTAAGAGGGTGATTCCATGAGCTCCCATCTACACTACATCGCAAGGGGCCCAGGATCAGCCCCTCCCTCCACACTTACCTGCAGCCTGAGCATAGCTGCCTCCTTTTCCACCTGTGGGAAGAAAGTTTCTGTGAGGGAACGGGGAGGAGGCAGGACCATGAGTATCTAGAACAGCTAGTTCTGGACCCCAGTGATGTTTCCAAAACTGGGACTGCAGACCCAGGAAAGGAATAGGAAACACAAACAAACATGTGCAGGGACAGGACCACAACTTCTGGAATCCTGCTCTAAACCGTAACCGTGTCCTGTGACCTGTAAGTACTGGAAATCAGGTCTCCACCACCAGAACCATTAAGGTGGAAGATTTGTCTTTCATTTTCACCTGTGCTTACAGAAGGGTCATGTTAGCATACAGGGCCCCTAATGGGGTCGGCACATGTGTGGATAGTGCCTCCCATAATGAAGCAGGAGATGAAAGGGGATGGCTAATCCCCTAGGACTTGAAACCCCCGTGGGACAAGAACACTCAGAGCCCACCCCGACTCTACCTGAGCTCTTCTTCCTCCAGTTCAGAGCTCCAACCACCACAATTTCAATAATCAAGATCACTCCGAGAACCAGGGCAGCAATGACTCCCATGGTAAGGATGGTGGGCTGGGAAGGTTCTGGAAAGAGACAGGAGGTGAGAGGTTGGAGCCCTTCCTCCTCCTTCCCCTGAGAAGAGACCCTGCCTTGTCCCCCACCTTACCCCATCTCAGGGTGAGGGGTTTGGGCAGCCCCTCATGTTGCACACGGCACGTGTATCTCTGTTCTTCTCCAGAGGGAACATTCAAGGCCACCCACTTCTGGAAGGTTCCGTCCCCTGCTGGCCTGGTCTCCACAAGCTCCATATCCTGGGTCTGGTCCTCCCCATCCCGCTGCCAAGTCAGGGTGATCTCCGCTGGGTAGAAGCCCAGTGCCCAGCACCGCAGTGTGACCTCACGGTCAGAGATGGGGTGGTGAGTCACGTGTGTCTTTGGGGGATCTGATGGAATGAGTCAGAAAATTCAGGACCAATGAACTCCCTCACAAGGTCTGCTAAAGCAAAGGTCATGTGAGCATCCTGAGACTGG